GAATGCAGCCCCCGCGAACGAGCGTGAGAAACCCGCGGCGGCTCCAGAGGTACCGATCGAGGCGCCGGCGAAGCGAGGCCGAGGTAGGCCGCGCAAGAACCCCATTTGCGGACCTCGGGAACCAGGTGGAGACGACCTGGATGGCAATGCGGTAAGGGGAAGGGGCAGACCACGTAGAACCGCTCAGCACGTGCGGAAGGTGGTACTGCCAGCTACCCCCGCAAATGGGCCATGTTCGCGAGGAAAGCGTCTGGGACCGGGTCGTCCTCGTAAACAATAGCGTCGAGCGTCACACGGCGACGGGTAGGTTAAGGACTGAGCCTGAGAAATCCCTTGACCCCACTTCTTCTCTTTTACAGATGGAGAGGAAGCTGGTCATCAGTGAAGAGGCCCTCGAGACGGCCACCCAGCTGCTGCTCGACCTGGGATTGGGTCCGGGTGCCGATCGGCTGATCGGCGACCTTCGAAGGTTCGTCCGGGCCCAGGTCGAGGTGGCCGCTCGCGAGGGCCGATCGCGCCAGCGGGTGGACGACTTCCTTCGGGAAGGGATGAGGGCCCAAACCTCTAAGCCCGTGACCCGGGAAGCGTCCACCCAGACCGACGGTCCATCCGAAGAGGGCCGTCGGTCTCAGTCCACGACGGAACAGAAGCTATCACTTTACCGACTGGTAGCTACAAAATAGAAGATATTGAAAGCTTTCTCAAAGAAGCATTAGCACCTTAAGGTATACTGTTTAGCCTGAAACCAAATAATAATACTTTACGTAGCGTCATTCAGTGCAGTCAAAAAATACATTTTAAACCAGAAGATTCTATTGGATTAATTTTAGGCTTCACTAGACGCATGCTCATTGAAAACGAAACACGTAGTTCTAACTTATCCTTCATTATTCTCAAAATCAACGCTTTACGTGTAGAGTGTAATATTACTACAGGCTCTTACATAAACGATCGCAAAGTACATACTATATATGAATTTTTCCCAGAAGTCCGACCTGGATATAAGATTATAGAAGTTCCCTCTCAAGTCATTTACCTTCCAGTCGCTGTGAGGAGCATTGATCATTTTCAAATTCATATAGTTGATCAAGACGGAAACCTAGTTAACTTTCGAGGAGAAGTCATCACAGTGCAAGTACATATAAAGGCCATATCTTAGTAATGGGTATCATTTACAATATAAAGACCGGTCGAGGCTATATCAAAAGAAAAAATGTCAATCAACAACCAGTCAATAGCGAGCTATCAGACCGCTCACACCTCAGAACATTCAATTCCTGAAATGCTTGAGACTAAAAGTCGTCGAAAATCGTGGAAGAAAATATTGTGCATATTAGTGTGCTATATAAAACAATAACAATATGGAGGGAATTCTAGACATTCATTCAGGTGTCGCTTTCGATGAGTCATAGCTCATTATGAAGTTCATGCGCATCAGCCTTATTCATTATCATATTTCAATAACAGTGATGAAATCCATATAGCTATTCATCATCAAGATTTATCTCTGCTTCCATCACGCAGTATAATTCATATTTGTGGTCGGTTGACCAAGCCGGACAGTACTACGCCAGTAGAGAACACCTTATTATTCTACAACGCCCTCTGTCATTTGTTTGAGGAAATACGATATGAAATAAATGCTATTGAAATTGATAAAGTGAAAAATGTAGGCTTAACGAGCCTCATGAAAAAATGTCTTTCACTCAATCTGTGTCAGAGCTCTATCGCTGAAAATGCCGGATGGAATGGTGATAACAATAAAGTTTTAATATGTCATGCTCTAGATTTTGTTGATGTGGCTATCCCTCTCAGTATGTTGATGGGTTTTGCTGAAGATTATCGGAAAATTGTAGTCAATATCAAGCATGAACTTATTCTCACAAGATCAAAAGATGATTTGAATGCTATTTTGAGTATTCCAGTAAGGAATCCTGATGCTTCAGAAAAATAAAAAATTACTTTAACTAAGGTGGAATGGTTGATGCCATATGTGATGGTTGCAGACAAAGAAAAAATCAAATTATTCAATCAGATTGGACCAAATCGTGCAATTACAATGATTTATCGTACTTGGGAAATGTATGAGTATCCAAAATTACCTCGTACATCAAAGGATGTTTGGAGTGTTAAGACTTCCAATCAATTGGAAAAGCCTCGCTTTGTTATTTTAGCTTTTCATACTAAACGTAAAAAGTTGGCGAGTGTTAATTCTAGTAATTTTGATCATTGTAATATTAGTAATATGAAGCTATTCCTCAATTCACAATGCTATCCGTATGGAAATCTCAATTGGAATATCAATCAAAATCAGTTTTCTGTTCTCTATTATATGTATACTAATTTTCAAAACGCTTGCTATGGTAAAGAAAATGAGCCGTTACTTAATGAAAAGGATTTCATTAATAAAGTGCCGCTAATGGTTATAGACTGCTCCAAATAAAATGAAACATTAAAAAGCGCCCCAGTCGATGTTCGCCTAGAATTTGAAACTCGAACCGATTTTCCTGAAGATACTGCAGCCTACTGCATAATATTACACCATCGTATTGTACAATATAATCCAATTAATGGTGATGTTGAAAAATTAGTTTAAAATTAACATTATGTAATCAATGTACACGATGCTTTTCAATAAAAAAAGAAAATAAAAAATATATATACTGTTAGAATTTAATACAAACTATCTATAATCATAGAGAGAGAGAGAGAAAGAGAGAAGCATCCATACTATACGGCGTACGCACCTAGCAAGCTAGAGACGCTACCCCCTCTTCGTGGGCCCAAACTTATCCAGCATAAGCTTACTATGCGCCCTACTATAGAAGGAGAATAAAAGAGACCATCATATAGCTTACTAAAAACCCTACCAACTTCTACAGCATCCTTCCTTAACAACCTCTGTAGGTGGATGTGGGTGGGTGGGTGGGTGGGTGAGGGTAGGTGGGTGTGGCTGGGTGGAGTAGGTGAATGGGTGATTGGGGAAGCACTCTGTCGGAGGGCCCACTGGCAGATCCTATCAGCGGTGATGTAAAGAAATTAGTTTAATATAGTTAATATACTCGCTAAATAAAATGTAATTAATACAATTAATATAAGCTAAACAAATTAAAATGTATAACATACTATACATTATGTTAAATTTTATGAATAAAAGCATTTAATTTTAAATATGTCTTTACTCAATACCTAATCATAACAGTATATGTAACTCTCTCTCTGACTCTGGCTCGGCGTGAACCATAGTATGCATGCTGTCTATAGTTTTAGCTTGGGGATGCGCTACTATAGTAGTAAACGCATGCTCTCTCTCCCTCTCTTCTTCGCTTGAGTTGACATCTCTAGTATAGAAGTAAACTACTGTTCTCCAAGCTAACTATAGCTACACGCAAGCTCTATAGGGCTCTACACTGTATGCTACTTACGATATATATCGCACGTGTTCGTGCAAAAGTAAATTAACGCATTATTGATTTTTTACTTTAGTTCATTGAATTAGTTTTTTTTATAAATTTTATAAAATTTACAATTTTTTTTCTTTTTTTAATATTATTATTATTATTATTATTTCAATTATTTTGATCCGACGACTTTCGAGGGGCGAGTCGGTTTCTTCACTGTTGGTCAGACCGGAATCAAGATAACTTTTTATCGAACATACTCGACATTCTTCACCAACGAAATTTTTTTCTGTAAAAAAAAATTTTTTTAATTATTATTTTTAATTTATATTTATTAATCATTTACTTATTTCTATAATTTAAGTACTTACAGTAGTAGTCAAATCGAATGGCACATTGACTTGCGCTTCTTCTCCTTGATAGCATGTGGATGTTGCTGTTGCTGTTAACAAATCCATTGCCTCATCCTGTACAATTTCAATTGAAGGCATCGATGATGTCGCAGACGACGTAACCGACGATGACAACATCACCGATCCTGAAGATGATGCTGGTGAGGGTGACGCTGAGGAGGACGATTTTGTTGAAACTACTCTTCTCTTGATTTTATTCGCCAATTCGTCCTGCTTCAGCTTGGCCAGCTCTGCTTTTTCCCTTTTGCTCTAATCGTGAGGACTCCTGTTTTTGCCTCATTATTAGAACGCGCTTCTGGCGACAAAGCTGCGCCCTCACTCGAACTTCTACCGTTTTTTCTATCTGATAAGTCAATTGCTGCGCAATCAGCCTTTCAGTCAGTGACTCTTTAATCCACTGAAAAATAAAAAAATCTGTATAAGTTGTGATGGTAAACGTCGTATTAGCGCTAATAGCCTAACCTCGTGGCTGCCTGCCGGGGGCAGCACCTACCAGTAGACGAAAATGTAATGAGGGAATTCGGCACGCGACGGGACGGAACGCGCGCGTATTTATTGATAGCTAAAAGATCTTTTCTTTCAATACTCGATTTTCACTCAGAGATAAATTTGGACCAATGTACTTTTTGAATTTGTTTACCTGCTTATTGCGATATTCACCATTCGTTTTATATCTCTTCCGATGAGAGTTGGTATTTTAAGAAGTTTTATATAATTTTCTATATCCCATTAATTGATTAATGCGGAATCAGGTTCTTTATGAAATAGAAATTTCATTGCTTTATCGTTTTCGAAGTAATTTCAAGCATTGCCTAGACATGTTTTGTTGAAGGCGAACGCCAAATGTTTTATCTAAATTACTTTGCTTTCGTGGTTTATTTAATAGTCAAGCACCGTTTTCTATAATGAAATCATTAAACAGCTGCCGCTTCTGTTCTGTAGGTAGATTTAAAGTAGTTTTGTCTAAATTTATAGCAGTTGTCTTTAGTGATAATTGAGCAGACTTATCACGTTCATCATCAATAGCGGATTCAAATATTGTATTAAGCGGTTATAATGTAGAATTAAATTCATTAAGAGTACTATTAAACTAAGGAGATTGATTGATAGTGTCAACTATTGCTTTAGAATTAAAAACTTTATTAAATGCGATTTTCTTCTCTTTTTTTGATGCCAATGTTACGTATTACGACGTCTCTTGCGTTGGCAAAGCGTTGCTGGTATTACGCTGTATTGCCGGACCAGCCATGGGAATAGTCGGGTTGCCGGTCATGGACTCGTAAGCCGTTGATTGCTCAGCAAGCGTCTCGATTTCTTCGTCTGAGAGTTTTTCTATCTCACTCGCTAAGAGGTTTTCATCGTCTCGCGAATATTCTTCAGGTTTTAGATCGGTAACGGCGACTTTCTTGATATCAACACCCTTTTTGGTTTGGAGTTGATACGAGTTCATGCCGAGGCAAGCCGTTATAATAAAAGGTCCTGCATATTTTGGGCAGAGTTTGGCGGCAATGGCCTTGGTGGCAGATGAAAGTACACGATTTTTTGTCAATACTCTGTCATCGACATTTACTTAATGACACGATGTTTCTGGTTGTAGTATTTTTCTTGCCTTGCTTGAGCAGTTTTAGAATTTTCGAGTGCATTGGCTCGAAAGTCGTCAAGTTTACTCATACGAGAGTGCCATGCGTTGCGAGCAACAGCCTCGAGCTGTTCTAATGCTGCGTGCTCTTCTTTCCGTCGAGCGTTGCGAGGCAGCTCTGGATGTCGGCCATAGTTCAGAAAGGCTGGACTAGAGTAGGTAGACTCGTGGATGGTCGTATCATAGGCGAACGCATGTTCGTGTATAAGCTCGTCCCATCGAGTGTGTTTCTCGACGAACGTCACAATCATAGTTTTGATCGTGCGATTAACACGCTCGGTCGGGTTTGACTTTAGAGAACACGGAGCACAGGTGCCATGGATGATTCCATGAGCTTCCAAGAATTTATCGACCATCGTGTTTTTGAAAGGTGTGCCATTCCCTTACAAAAAGCGGTCCGGAATGCCGAATCGCAGTAAAATACGATGGTTGATTTCCTTCGTGATAGTCTTGACATTGGTTTTCGTACCGGAATGCTTTCGATCCATCTGGTAAACATATCCATGAAAATTAATAGATATTCATGACCTTGAGACGAACGTGGGAATGGACTCATCCAATCGGCACAAACAATCTCCCATGGACGAGTAATGATATGTTTACCCATAAGTCCAGCAGGTGGCTTTTGTTCAACCTTTATCTGTTGATACACTTGACAGTTGCGCACATAGTGGGCAACTTTCTTATAAAGGCATTAATATCATAGGACGGCTATCTGATGAATCTTCATGACATTCCGTGAGAATATACTCGCGCTATTCTCGAAGAACCACTAGCTTCCACGCATCCTTGTCGTGATTCATTAGCTCGTCAAGGGTTGCGTCTGGCCGATAAACAAATAAGCGACCGCGGACAACTTTCCAATACGGGTGACCGCGTGGACCTTTGGCTACTTGCTTAAACTTGCGCAAGTACTATTTACTCGTATCTCTAATAGACTCGTTAATTTTGAGGAAAGCGAGGGAAACAGAGACATTCTCGTGAGTCTCGTACATGTCAAAATCGTAGGCCTGAAGGCGTAATGACCATCGGCCTAACTTGCTATTTAGGCTCTTTAAATTTTGGAGCCAGATTAAGCTATGGCGATCTGTCACCACGGTGAAGTGATAGCCTTCGATATATGGTCAAAATTTTTCGATTGCCCAAATAATGGTAAGGCATTCACGCTCAGTTACTGATAGCTTTCGATCAGTAGCTGAGAGAACATGGCTAGCAAAGCAAAGAGGGCGGTCTTCTCCATCAATTTTCTTGATAAAAATGCTGCCAAGGCCGATATCGCTGACATCGCGCTCAACGATGGACGGTGCCTTGAATTCAGGTCTAGCTAAAACAGGCGCCGTCATAAGTATGGCTTTTACTTGCTTAAAGGCGGCTCGATTTTTGTTGGTCCAGACATACTTCGTGGTTTTCCTTGTAAGTGCAGTGAGGTACTCGGCCAAAGTCGCAAAGTCCTCTAAGAATTTGCGGTACCAAAAGGCCATGCCGAGAAAATGGCGTAATTGTCGTAAGTTTCTCGGTGCCGGGTAGTCTAAGATAGGCTGGACTCTCTCCGGATCGGGGCGGCAGCCGTCCCGATTCATCAGTACGCCGAGAAGCGAATCTCAAGCATGCAAATCTTAGACTTTTTCTGGTTTATCGTAAGTCCGGCCTTGTTGATTCTTTTTAAAATCAATGTAAGCAACTTCATGTGCTCAGTAAACGTCTCGGTTGCAATGATCAAGTTATCCAGGTATGCAAATGCATAGGGTTCCATTTCTGGCGTGATAATTCTGTCTGCCAGCATTTGAAAGGTTGCTGGGCCGCCTGACAAGCCATACGGCATTCTGACAAATTCAAACAGACCCATGCCAAGAACCGTAAAAGCCGTGATTGGTATTGACCTCTCAGTGAGAAGTATTTGTCAAAATGCTCCAGAACAATCTAGGGCGCTGATGTGTTTCGCATGTTGAATCTTACGCAAAATAATATCCATGAAGGGCAGAGGGTAAGCTGAAACTTTCGAAACCGCGTTAACTTTTCGGTAGTCGACTCAATACCGATACGTGCCATCTGGCTTTGTGACCATAACAATCGGACTTGACCATTGGCTCGTGGATTTTCAGATAATTCCCATCTTTAACATCTTATGCATTTGCTCGCGTATCTCGTCCTCTATTTTCTTCGATACTGGGTAGTATTTTTGTTTAATGGGACATGGATGGGTTAGGTCAATATCATGCTTGATCCATCCTCTACGGCCTAACTTTACACGTAGGTTCAGGGAGCAATTCTTGCATGACTTTCTCTATCTCTACTCTCTGTTCGTCCGTCAAATCTTCGATCCCCAGTGAAGCTAAAGTCATTGCCTTCTCAGTTTTCTCCGTGGAGAGAATTGCGGGCACGCTTTCCTCGCAGCCATCAAAGATCAACTTATCTGTTTTAGACATAGATAAGCCGAAAAGGCGCGTTTGAAGTCGGCACCTAAAGTGCACTCTGTGTCAACTTCTGTCAAAATGAGAGCGTCGATAATATGTGTCACCCCTCCGATCGTGAAGGGCAACCTTACGTTACCTACAATGAGTACGTAATGACCGTCAACCGCTCTAGCCTCTAGGCCCACATACGGACATACGCGCCGATTTAAGGCTGTAGCCATCGAAATGGCGCTCAAGCCGAGGACAGTGCAGGAAGCTCTGGCATCCCAGAAACCTCTAAACTGATAGTCCCCGAAATTTACTGTCAGCCACCACCTAGGTGATTTATCGATCAGGACGCTTGCGACAGTACCTCCATCGCCTGCTATCTGTGCGTCGGAAAGGCTGATCCTGGCTAGCATAGGGTTGTCCACCGTGTTACTTAGTCCTGGCGCTACTTCTGTCACACCACTGACGTCGAAGGTCCAGGTGATGGGGAAAACCGTAGGGACCTCACCTACTGGCTCCCGCTGGCATTTTTCGGTTGATCCATCTTTGCGTTCTTAGGCAAACACTTGGGGCAGGTGGCCTTGGTATATCCTCACCAACTGTATTTCCAACAAAGGATTTTCTTGCCGTCAGGGTCAACCTCTTTATTTTTGTTTTTCTCGGACCTACGGGTAGTTGCCAGGGCGGGATTGCCAACTTGGCGCCCCCAGTCTCTTCGACTGCCTCGGCCACGGCCTCGAAATTTGTTTCGAGACGGACTACTGGTTGTGCCACTCGGTGGTCCTTTGGTTGCCGCTATAGGCGTTTCGCCAGAGTACTTGCCGTTGGGCAAGTCATTTGGTGAGGCTTAACTCCTTGGCCCTTTTGTCGATTATCCTCACTAGGAGTTTCTTTAGTTCGGCTTCGTCGAATGATGGTGCCCTCTCGTTTAGGGGCGACAGGCTAGCTGGCTTGGCCTTCGTCACTTTGTCACAAGGCTTGTAGGCCGTGTCTGGCAAGATACTTAGGTCAGGTGACGGAGGGTGTATCCAGTGGCCTTTTTCTTCGTCTTCTACCTCTTGGGCTTTTTTCAAGAGGATCTGCATCGAGATGGAAATGTCCTTGAAAACCTTTAATTTCTTTTTAAGTTCGGGAAGCAGATTATCTATGATCAAATTAATTTGATCACGTTCGCTCCACGGATGGTCGAATCGTTTCAGGATTGTCGACAGAGACACCATATATTTTAGCATAGGTTCATCTGGGCCTTGCGTACGATTATAAGCTTCTATGGTTAAGCTCCGGGTATACCTCCTGCATTTACTGTGGGCTTTCAGCGCAGCGAGATTAAAATCTTCAAAAGTAGTCCTAGATGGCCTTCCAGCGCAAAACCAAAGGAGAGCCAGTGCCTCGAACAGTGGAGCTGACAACTCGATGCTGACTTTTGAGTATCCTGAGAATTTTATTTTCCATTCTCGCACTGTCTTGCCTAAGTGTTTGCTACGTAAGTAGCAAGAGGTTGTAGAGTTGACCAAATACCTAGTGTGTCGCTTGTGGTGTTGGACTTGCCAGCCACGCGGATGACTGGATGGTAGCACTCTCTGGTTGAAGTAATAGGCGCAACGCTAATGTCGTTTAGGTTTGCAGGTATTGTTTGTGTCATATTAGTTGGCCAAGCTACTGCGTTGTTTAGCGTTAACATAGCAATAATCGATGGTTATTGAATAAATATCTGAGCTGGCTTCGTCATACAATGAAACATTGGCGCGTGTGGACTAAGCGAAGAGGAAGAGATAATTGGAAGCTTTGAAGTGTTGTCAACACTGGAGAGATCGTAGTAGTTGAAATCAAAAGTATCTGCGAAATGCACTGCTTTTGCATTGCGTGTTGTTTCTAGGCGCGCTTGCACTGCATATTGCTGTTGTATGCCTTCTGTTTGTGTTAGGCTTGTATGGGAGGGGGGGGGGTGTTAGTATTGTATAGTCTGTCATTTGTATTGGGAATTTTCCAATAACATCTTCTGCTTTTCACTTTTTAGTGAAGCAATGTAGTCTGATATTTGCTGTTGGACTGCATTTGCCTGTAACTCTATATGTCACACTCTTCTTAGCTCCATTGCTGCTGCAAACGGCATCTCTAAGATTTGGCCGTCTGGCATGGTAACACGAGCCATGCGCGTTTCCTGGTTCTTTTTTATAACAGGTGTCGTAACATCTTTTGTTTTACGAGGCAGTGTCGTATAAGTTAATGTCGTGCTCATTGTTGTTGCTTCTTGCATCATTCTGTGTTCATCTGAGTTTGTATTCTATGTTGTGGTTACGCCTGGCGGTTATAATTACGACGCTCTCAGGAAGCTCGATTACGATCCGCTTAGCAAAAACATAGATGATGCGCATAGTGCACCATATGGCCATCCTCGCGGCTGGCCAGGTCACTTTGTGAAAAAATCTTTTTGTCAAAGCGGCGGATTATGATTGTCTTCCTCAACAGAGAATAGAGAATTTTCGAACAAACAATTCGTTGTTTTTTGGGAGAGAATATCATAAACTTCTCTTTTCTGTACGGGCATATGCAAATGTAAATGCTGATATACAAAATGCGCCACCAATTGCCCTCGACAAGCAGTAAATGCAAGTTGACCCGGAGTGAATGCAATGTGTATTTGAAAGAAGACTTGCAGTCACAAGTGCGGATGTTTATATCTTCACGTAGTGGGGCTGAAAACGCTGTCTCTGTAAAGAGACAGTAGGCAAAACACAAAACGCTTGCCCCTAGAGCAATAGACCGATTGACCAAATAAAGCAATACCAACACGGATCATGAAAACACGTGGTGAGGTACGGCTTGTAAACGCCCAAAAATTCAATGCGGAGTCTACCACACCCCAAGAGCTCAACTCGAGCCCAGACAAGCCAAAATCCTGGAGTTATTTGAGGGGAAATCTCTCGCGATTGTGGTACCACGCGCTCTCTTTA